TGTCAACTGCGAATGTTTACTTATCAATTCTGTTTCATACTGATGGAATACCCTTTTGTCAGCGTGTTGCTACAAGCTATAGAACCAACCTATTAAAGTATATCAACCTTTTGAGATCAGTTTTGACACGATCCTCCATGTAGACCTCAGAGAAAAAATTTTTGGCTTCTCTTCGCAATTTCCGCAGAGCAACTGACACTGCAAAAAACCTTAAGTTCAGTTTGANGCACGATGCACTCAACCCTTATCACAACTTCTTCAATAGTCCCCAACGACTTTTGCGGAGCAGCATAATAACGATCCTTTCTGTAGCGATCCATCATGGACATACGATCAACGTACGACAACACGAATACCTGAAAGATGCCTATGCTTTAAATACAATTAGTGCAGAAAAAAAAATCATTGCTGTAAAATACGTAACCTGTGATGCACTCCTATTACCTAATAACGCAATAATATCCTCTTCCTCATAAAAATCTAGACCGCATGCAGATAATGTAACCTAAATGACATCAGCGTTTTTTTCGGAGAAGTCCAACGAGGTATTACATAGAAAAACGGAACCATTTGAAATAAGCTATCTCTCCTACTATTGTGAGGACTCGACAAAACTCTTCAAAATACTGGCACTGTTCAAAAGGACCCACGTCATATACATTTGCAATGATTTTCGACGACTCAGACTTTGATGACTTCAGGTTAACCGAATAAACCAGTTGTTCGAGCTCTCTATAGATTTCTCCGATTATAAAATTCGTGGTCCTAAAAAAAAAAGCAAATAAATTAGACATTGAAAACTATATCCTCAACAAAAGTGAACATTAACAGTTGTCAATACCTAGGAAGGCCCTGGTTCTACAACGTCTACATAGGGAGTGTCAACTGCGAATGTTTACTTATCAATTCTGTTTCATTCCCTTTTGGTATGGAATTCAATACCCTTTTGTCAGCGTGTTGCTACAAGTTATAAAACCAACCTATTAAAGTATGTCAACCTTTTGAGATCAGTTTTGACACGATCCTCCATGTAGACCTCAAAGAAAAAATTTTTGGCTTCTTTTCGCAATTTCCGCAGAGCAACTGACACTGCAAAAAACCTTAAGTTCAGTTTGATGGACTTGTAGTCCACAAAGATAATGCATTCAATCCCAATTCACAAATTCGCTCTTTCACTGCTCACGAAAGGCACGACAGCTGAAAATCATTCCAGTAGCAGGGAAAAGGAACTATCACCCGGAAGAAAGTTTCTGGATGCAGCTTGCCAGAACAGCAGATTTTTCAAAGAATATCTAATCTTCTCCCCAAATATAACGAATCGCCATAAGCACAAAAAACGGAGCTTACTTCGACAGGTTGCAGGCAAAATCCATGAGGAAAGCGAAAAAAATTTTCACAGAAAACAATGGAGGTAGGGAGAACAGGAAAGATATAGTGGCGTGTAATAAATTTGATAGGGCAAACATAAAATAAAACCACGGAAGTGAGCAATTAAACATCAGTATAATCCTTAGCTTTCGATGAAGCTATTAATAGGTAATCGGCCTCAAAGGCCTTAGAAGGGTTTCTATCAAAAGTCTCAAATTTAGCGCCTCTACACTTGGGCATTCCAACAGCACCGAAAATCCATGTTATTTTATGACATGTGCTCGATTAAATACAAAAAGCATTATTCCGCTGCTTGAATAATTTTCTGGCACTAGAGCGCTCGTTTCGCCTAGGGCTTTCGGAAGTCAGAAGTAAGTGTTTGCAAGTAAGATAATTATGTGAAAAGGAGACAAAAACTTCTCAACAAAAAATTTCTACACATTTCTTCTTCAATTTACTTACAAAACAACAACAAATGAAAAGCATACAGGTACATGAGGAATGCAGTCAATTGTTCCGAAAAACAAAGGGATAATAAAATTAGAACCCACCCGAGTCAGCATATTTCTTTACGAGTGCCAATGAACTAGCATGTGCGTCTCTTCTGTAACCAGTAGGGATCCGAGCCGAGGTGTTTGGATTTGTTGCAGGAGCTTGATGTTGTATAGTTATCGGTCCTGCTGATGCAGAACCCCCACTGGAAACTGCTGCCGCTCCACTGGAGCCAGGATTCATGTACAGGAACCTACAATTAACGTCAAGAAAATGTATTAGCCAATAGCAAAGTAAGGAAGATATGTATTACAATGTCACTGCAATTTATAGTTCATATGCAAGAGGCTGATATATCTTTCATTAATACTACTCCACATGCAAATTCAGAATACAAGAACAACCAGTATGTACAGAAAGAAACCAGTACATGAAGTGCAGGAAATCTTGTCAAAAGTTCAACAAAGTACGAGATCCGACAGAGAAAACTAAGTGAAACAAACCACCCAAGAATTGACGGAACATGCATGTTTGATGGGCTTATTAGTTCGAAGAGCATACCAGGAAAATGCACTCAGATTCACATCACGCGAT